GCTCTCAGTTCTCACACGCGGACCCCGCTGCTCTGGGTTTCCGTTCCGAGGGCTGCCCTAAAGTCCTTTCCGTGCTGCTACCAGTCTGCGAGTCTGTACCCCGTCCCCAGTGATCGAGGCTGTCACTTACCGGCAGTGTAGGATCCCCACAGTCAGACTCCCTCCCGCTGCCATTTATCCTCCAATATCTGCCCGTGGAATCATGGCTCCCCGCTTTGTACCTCGAAACCAACCACCTGCGATATTCTGTTTGTAGAGATCCAGATCTTCTTACATCTCAGGCTGATTTCATGAGTGCTCAGAGTGGTCTGGTAGATATCCAGCTCAAATCCGAGGACCAGTTTAAATAGGGTCCCCTACTCCTCCGCCATCTTTTCTTCCCTATCGTGAATGACTTTTTAAATGTATTGTTGGATTCTCTTTGCTAGTATTTTGTGAAGGATTTTTATATCTATGTTAATCAGAGATACTGACCTGTAGTTCCCTTTTGTGATGGTTTCTTTATCTGGTTTTGGTATCAGGGTGATACTGGCCTCATGAATGAATTTGAGAAGAATAGGTTAAGTATTGTTTTTAATAGATTTTATTTATTTGACAGAGAGAGCAGCGGGCAGAGGGAGAGGGAGAAACAGGTTCCCCGCTGAGTATGGAGCCCAACGCGGGTCTCAATTCCAGGACCCTGGGATCATGACCCAAGCTTAACCAACTGAGCCACCCAGCTGCCCCAAGGTTAACTATTCTTCAGATCTTTGGTAGAGGGGAACCTTGGTGGCTGAGTTGGTTAAATCTTGATCTCGGGGTCCTGGGATCAAACCCTGTCTCGGGCTCTCTGCTCAGTGGGGAGTCTGCTTTTCCTTCTCCCTCTCTGCTCTCTCTCTAATAAATAATCTTTAAAAAAAAAATCTTTGGTAGAATTCAACAGCAAAGCTGTCTGGTCATGGACTTTTGTTTGTTGAAGTTTTTTGGTTACTAATTCAATCTCCTTACTGCTAACTGGTTTCTTCAAATTTTCTATTTCTTCCTGCTTCAGTTTTGGTAGGTTTTATGTTCCTAGGAATTTATCCATTTCTTCTAGGTTGTCTAATTTGTTGGCATATAGTTTTTCATAATACTCTTTAATAACTATTTCTGTGATGGTTATTTCTCCTCTTTCATTTCTAATTTTGAGTTTGTTTTGCTTTTTGATGAGTCTGACTAGGGGTTTGTCAATTTTCTTGATGTTTTCGAAGAACCAGCTCATTTATTTCTGCTCTAACCTTTATTATTTCCTTCCCTTTGCTGGTTTTGGGTGGTGTTTTGTTCTTTTTCTAGCTCTGGTAAGGTTAGGTTGTTTGAGATTTTTCTTGCTTCTTCAGGTAGGCCTGTATTGCATATACTTTCCTCTTAGAACAGCTTTTGCTGCATGCCCAAAGGTTTTGGACCATTATGTTTTCATATACTTTTTGATTTATTCTTTGATTTCTCAGTTGACCCATTCATTGTTTAGTAGCATGTTATTTAACCTCATGTATCTGTGGTCTTTCCAGATTTTTTCTTATGGTTGATTTCTAGTTTCATAGTGTTATGGTCAGAAAAGATGCATGGGATGACTTCAGTCTTTTTGAATTTGTTGAGGCTTGTTTTGTGGCCTAATATATGATCTGTTCTGGAGGATGTTCCATGTGCACTTGAAAAGAATGTGTATTCTGTTTTAGAATGGAATGTTCTGAATATATCTTAAATCCATCCGTTCCCATTTGCCAATCAAAGCCACTGTTTCCTTGTTGCTTTTGTTTGGATGATCTGTCCATTGATGTAAGTGGGGTGTTAAAGGCCCCTACTATTATTGTATTACTATCAAGTAGTTCCTTTATGTTTGTTCTTAACTCTTTTACATATTTGGGTGCTGCCATGTTGGGTACATAAGCATTTACAATTGTTATATCTTCTTGTTGGATTGCCTCCTTTACTATTACATAGTATCCTTCTTTGTCTTTTAGTCTATTTTGTCTGATGTAAGTACTGGTACCCACCTTTCTTTTGACATCCATTTGCATGATCTCCTTCCCCTCCAGACTTTCAATCTTCATGTGTCTTTAGGTCTGAAATGAGTCTCTGGTAGGCAGCTTACAGATTTTTTTTAATCTACTCTGTCACACTATGTCTTTTGAGTGGAGCATTTAGTACATTTACATTGAAAGTAATTGATCTGTATTGCCATTTTGTTACCTGTTTTGTTACCTGTATTTGTAGTTTTTCCCTGATTGTTCTCTTTCATGGTTTGTTGGTTTTCTTTAGTGATATACTTGGATTCTTCATGTTTTGCTTATCTTTTACTGTTGACTTGTGTTTACCATTTGATTTATATATAACATCTTCTGCATACAGCAGTCTATTTTATGTTGATGGTCATTCAATATTGCATTCGTTCTTTACTCCTTCCCTCCCCTCCATGTTTTAGGTATATGCCCTCCTAGTTTACATCCTTTTATTTTACTGATCCCTTGACTGACATTTACAGAAATACTTTTACTGCTTTTGTGTGTTTTTTACTTTTCACACCCTAACTTATCATCTTTTCTTTCCACTGAAAGTGTTCCCTTTAATATTTCTTCTACAGCTGGCTTAGTGGTCACAGACTACTGTAGTTTTCCTCTGGGAAACTCTTTATCTCTCCTATTCTGAATGATGGCTTTGCTGGATATAAAGTATTTTTGGCTGCAGAAGTTTCCCTTTCAGCACTTTGAATATATCATGCCACTTCCTTCTGGCCTGCAAAAATCTGATAGCTTTATGGGCTTTCCCTGTGTATATAGGTCGTCTTTTCTTTTGCAACCTTAAAAATCTTGACCAGTATTTCTTGACATTTTAATTACTGTGTGTCTTGGTGTGGACCTCCTTGGGTTGATTTTGTTGAGGGATCTCTGTGCCTCCTGAAACTGAATTTCTTTTTCCCTCCCCAGATTTAGGAAATTTTCAGCTATAATTTCTTTTCCCCCCTTTATCTTCTTCTGGGATCCCAGTAGATGCAAATGTTACTATGCTTGACAGTCACTGAGGTCCCTAAGTCTGTTCTCTATGCAGTATTTGTCATCTGCTTAGCTTGACTGCTTTACATTACTCTATCCTCCAGGTCACTAATACATTCCTCTCCTTCCTGTAGCCTACTATTTATTCTATCCATTGTATTTTTAGTTTCATTTATTGAGTTTTCAAGGGTCTCGCTAATGTCCTTCATTCTTAAGTCCAGTGAGTATCTTTATGATGATTACTTTAAATTCTCTATATGAGGCTAACTACTTCTGTTATGTTTAGGTCTCCTGCTGTGTTTTTGTCATGGTCTTTCATTTGCCACCTCATTTTGTCTAACTCTGTGTGTGTTAGGAAACTCAGCTACATCTCTTGAAAGTAGTGGTCCTATGAAGAAGTCCTGTAGTGACCCTGCAGTGTTCCCTGTTCACCAGGACCTGGTGCTTTAGAGGTGTTTCCTATGTGTGTTGCCTGCATCTTGCTATTGTGTTGGACTAGCTTTTCCTTTCAGTCCAGACTCTGCACTGACTCTGCCTATTGCTATCTGTGGTGAGAGACCCAGATAGGCTGGCTCTGAAGGGGAGTGACCATAGGAGGGCTCAGGGGTAGGGTGGTGGTGTTAACAAAATTTGCATTGGGGAATCCGGCCTAGGACTAGTGACTGAAAGTGTGGTAATCGCCAGGGGCATGGTGTACATTAGCAGCAGTGGCCTGAGTGGGGTAACTCAAGCAGCTGAGGTGGCCATCAATGGACACATGGCAGCTGGGAGCCTATGGTGGCTGGGCATGGCATGTACAATGTCAGCAAAATCTGCACTGGGCCACTAGTCCTAGGCCCATCCCCCAAAGCAAGGTGGCAGCCAAGGATAAAGTGCACAGGAGCAGCAGCGGCTTCAGGTGTGCAGCAACTGAGCAGGGCATGCATGAGCTGCTAGTCCTAATCCAGATCCCCCAAAGAAAGGCAGTGGCCACAGAGGCACAGCGCATTAACAGAATTTTTGCTAAGCCCAGGCCTGAGGCCAGCCAGCTTGGCAGGGGCAAGTCCTCAGGAGAATACAGGGGTGTGGTACACTGCTAGCAGGTTAGGTAGCCAGTGTCTGTGCAGCCCCACATCCCACAGGTGGCCCTCTGTGCTGGGAGGTGGGGGAGGAAAATGGCACCTGCCAGCTCCTTTGTTCCCAGAGAAGTCCCCCAACATCCGTATAAACAGATCTCCCTCCCGTTGTGCAAGCTGTCACTTCTATGTTGCCTCTCCTTGGGCTGCTGTCACTTTAGGGGCAGGCTCTGGCTATCACTTGCCTAGCACTGAGGTGGCTGACTTTCAAAGCTCCAAATCCCACTGGTTATACAAACTGACGGGATTCCGCCCCTCTGGTTTTCAAGGCCAGACATTATGGGGATTTGCTTGCTCTGTGTGGGCTCTATGGTGCTTTCTCCTTTCCATGACCACAGTTCCATGCTTCCAACCACTGTTTCTGCCCTTCATAACCTCTCAAATTTGAGTCGTGGGGTTTGTTTTGCAAGTCTTCAGATCACTCTCCAGTTTACGGACTTGGATATGAGTGATATCTAGTTGTAAACATGGGACTGGGTGAGCTTAGGGTCCTCTTATTCTACCATCTTGCACTGCCTCCCCATGAGTCACCTAGTTTCTCAGTGGAAGCATCTATTTGTGGATAATGTTTGCATTAGCTTTGACTGGCTTGCAGAAAACTGTATTGGGGGGAAAATGTGTAACTCTAATGGCAGCAGTTTATAGGGTCAGGCTGCCTATGATGCTTTCTTGCTGGGCTGGTAGTTGGAGCTGGCTCATCATGCGTGTCTTCTGTGTTGCAATAAGATATGCATTAATGTGTCAGCAAGGGATGGAAGGTAGGTACGTAAAGGATATCTTGGTTGCGGGAACAGCTGAGGAATGACTGTTGGGCAGGTGGAACCAACCATTCACAAGGTACCTGTGGTGATTCTGACCACCATTTTCTCTCCAGCAGAACCAGGGACAGAATTCCAGCCATGTGGCTATTCCTACCCAGTGACCTTTTCCAGTACCCAGTTCTTCGAACAGTATGTGCTGTGTGGTCACCCTCAGATCTTCCCAAGCTCATATGCAGGAAGCCCCATGCCAATGGAAGCTCCAAACTGCTCAAGTGAACAAGCAGACGGAGACACAGAGGGGAGACTCCAGCTGAGTGGGGTTTCCAGGGTGCTCTTCAGACCCTCTCAGGGCCGGCCAGTAGACTGGGTGGAAGGCAACAGAGCTGGGCATCCTGAGGCAGGCCTTGCAGCATCTGAGGCAGCCATGTATGGAAAATACAGACTGGGACTTGGTACCAAATCTAGCTTCTTGAGCCTCCAGAAGCATCATGTATGCCCTGAATGTGGCAGAAGCTTCTGTCAGAAGTCAGACCTCACCAAGCACCAGAGGACACACTCAGGGGAGAAGCCTTACAGCTGTAGGGAGTGTGGGCGAGGCTTTGGCCGCAAGTCCTCCCTCACCATCCACCAGAGGAAACACTCGGGGGAGAAGCCTTATGTGTGCCGGGAGTGTGGGCGCCACTTTAGGTACACGTCCTCACTTACCAACCACAAGAGGATACACTCTGGGGAGAGGCCCTTTGAATGTCAGGAATGTGGGCGAGGTTTTCGCCAAAAGATTGCCCTCATCCTGCATCAGAGGACACACTTGGAGGAGAAGCCCTTTGTGTGTCCTGAATGTGGGAGAGGCTTCTGCCAGAAGGCATCGCTCCTCCAACATCGCAGCTCACATTCGGGCGAAAGGCCCTTCTTGTGCCTCGAGTGTGGGCGTGGCTTCAGGCAGCAGGCACTACTCCTCAGTCATCAAGTCACGCACTCAGGGGAAAAGCCTTATGTCTGTGCTCAGTGTGGGCATGGCTTTCGCCAGAAGGTCACCCTTGTCAGACACCAGAGGACACACACAGGAGAGAAGCCTTACCTGTGCCCAGAGTGTGGGCGTGGCTTTAGCCAGAAGGTCTCCCTCATGGGACACCAGAGGACACACACAGGGGAGAAGCCTTACCTGTGCCCAGAGTGTGGGCGTGGCTTTGGTCAAAAGGTCACCCTCATCAGACACCAGAGGACGCACACAGGGGAGAAGCCTTATCTGTGCCCGGAGTGTGGACGCACCTTTGGCTTCAAGTCACTCCTCACCAGACACCAGAGGACACACTTAGAGGAGGCGGCTGATGTGTATGGAGTATGTGAGCAAGGACTTGGCCAGAAGTCTCACCTCACCTCTGACCAGAGGTCACACTTGGTGGGGAAGCCATGTGTGTGCAGTGAATGTGGGCGAGGCTTTGGCTTCAGGTCAGCCCTTATCAGACACCAGCGCACCCACTCAGGAGAGAAGCCGTATGTGTGCAGGGAATGCGGCCGAGCCTTTAGCCAGAAGTCTCACCTTCACAGACACAGGAGGACCAAGTCTGGCCATCGCCTCCCACCTCAAGAGCTGCTCTCCTGACCTTTCCTTTCCTCTTGAGGCAGAAAGCACTAGGAGATGTTCTACTTTCCTCAAATGCAGTGGAGGAAAAAATGTGTTCTTTCAGTGATTGGAAGATAGTTGATTTATGGTTTATTTTATGTGCTAGCAATGTGTTTTAATTTGCTAGGGCTGCCATAACAAAACACCACAAACTTGATGGCCAAAGAACAATTTTCTCACAGTTCTTGGGACCGGAAATCCAAGATCAGTGTGTGCACTTTGGTTTCTACTGAAGCCTTTCTCCTCCATTGGCAGATGCCTACATCCTTACTGTGTCCTCACATGGCCTTTGTGCACATCTTCTAAGGACAACAGCCTTACTGGGTTAGGGCTCCACTCTATCACCGAACAAGGTCACACTGTGCGTTCTGGCTTCAACATAGGAATTTGGAACAATTCAGTCCATAACAGCCTCCTGGACCCCCAAAATTCATGTTCTTCTCACATCCACAGCATGTTCTTAACAGCTCCCAAAGTGTTGACCCATTCCAGCATTGACTGTCCAAAATCTCATGTAAATCAAAATATGGGTGAGGCTAGGGGTATGTTTCACCCTGAGGCAAAGTTCCTCTCTATCTGTGAACCAGACAAGTTGCCACAGATGTAGAATTTGTGTTCCCTTTCCACAAGGGGAAACAAGAAAAGATTGATGGGTCCCAAACACATCTGTGACCTAGCAAGCAAATTCTATTAGGTTTTAAAGGCTTGAGAATGTCTGGTAGGATGCTGTGCCCTCTGGTCCTGCTGGGGTGGCAGCAGCAGGCTGACAGCAGTATGCAACCCCCTGAGACCATGGAGGCATTCACCCTCCAGGCCCACCACGGGAATGTCGGACCAACTGATCTGTTTCACCGTCAGGGTCACTGTTTCCTCCTCTTGGTGAGTAGCATCACAGAAGTCTGACAGCCGGCCTTTGCTTTGTCCCGTCTGTACCATCCTTAGTACAGCCTTGTAGTTACCACTGAGCATCAACTGGTTCCAAACTAATCTTTTTATCAAATGACTGTCCAACACCACCACTGGTATTCTCTCCAGAACAGGCTTTCTCATTTTCACAATATGGATAGGCTAAGAATTCTCTAAATCCTCAAGTTCTGGCTACTTTTTGCTAAACAGTTCCTTCAATTTACCTCCCTCCTCACATATTTCTAGGAGGAACAACAAGAAACAGGTATACCTTTCAACACCTTGCTTAGAAATCTCCTCAGCTAAGAATTCGTCACTTCTGTCGACTAAGATTTTGATCCTCCACTAAACACTGGAACACAACCCAGCCACATTCTTTGCTGCTTTATAATCAGGATTGACTTTCCTTTAGTTTCCAGTAATGTTCCACATTTCTGAGGCCACAGCAGAATCACTTCTAATTCCTTTTCCTACCATAGTCTCCTTGAGGCAACCCTGGCTTTCTCCAGCAAGCACCTCTAAACTCGTCCACCCTCTACCCACCACCCAGTTCCAAAACCACCTCCATAGTTTTTCATATTTATAGTAACACACCACTCAGTACCAAAACTGTATTCTTTTACCAGGGCTGCCATAACAAAACCAGAGACTGGAAGTCCAAGATCACCCTGACCTACTGAACTCTGCCTGCTGGCTGGCAGGTGGCACCTTCTCCTCACATGGCCATTCCCCTACACATATGCCAGAGAGCAAGTAAGCTCTGGTGTCCCTTACTCTTGTAAGATCAGGGCTCCACCCTTACAACATAGTTTAACTTTCAATACTTCCTTAGGTCCTGGACCAAATACTGTCACATTAGGAAAGGGCTTCACCATGGACTTTTTTGGGGGAAAATTTAGTTCATAACACTGCCCTCTGGACCCCCCAGATTCCTACCTGGCCCTCAACTCCTGCCATAAAGGGTCCTGATCTTTTCTTTCTTAGGAGTGCAAAGCCAGCAGGAAGCACTGGGCAGTGCTGCACTTTCCTGAAGTGGAATGCAGGAAGCATGCTGGTCTTCTCAGTGGCCAGGGGTGTGTGTGTTGGGGGTGGGGGGTGTTGGACACACATGCTTTCTAAGCCCTCCTCCACACCCAGGTCTGTTTAATAAACTGCTTCCTTACAAAGCTGAACCTGATCATATACCTCATTCCTTCAGCTGTCAAGAACCCCATGGTCCTGAACCTCAGGAGACATGGAGGGTCATTGTCTATTCGTTCTGAACTGTGGCCCTGTGTGTAGGGAGGGCCTTCATCATCACGCTTTCTTAGGTCCTCCAACAATGCCAGTGGGGGCATCTTCCTGCACCCCCAGCCCTGCATCCTGTTAGCCACACCCATGTACCAGTAATCCAGCCTGAGGACTTGGGGCTTTTCTTCCATGACCCTCCCTAGTCCTCCAGTCAGAGGAGCTAGAGCACCTGTCTTTATATGCAGTCCAAAGTACTGTCCCTTTAGCCTGCCTCTCGCTCTCAGATCCCCAGAGCCTGACACGTGTCCAGCCCAGGATAGACCTTGTCCTTTTGCCTTGGGCACAATAATGGTCCCCACCAAGTCCTTTTCCCCAGGCCCAGAGGTTTTTCCTGGCTTAAAATCCAGAGGCAATAAAAGATTAATACACAAAAAATTAAAAAAACCCAAAATTTTACATGTCAAAAAATATCAAAAGTAATACCAAAAGACAAATTTCATTCCTTCTGGAAGGAAAATCTAGCAACATATTTCCCAAATAAAGGGTTAATATCCCCATTTTATAAGAATTTTCAAAAATCAAAAGACCAGAAATGCCACAGGAAGTGGGCAAGAGACATGATCAGGAGTAAGTATACAAATAAGTGCAGTCTGCTGCTTACAGGAGAATGCCAAGGGCCAACTGGTAACTACATTTTTTTTCTCCTAATATCTTATTATCATAGTGTTTTTATCAAAGCTATGAAATTAACTTTAGGACAGCACTATTAGGAACTATTCAGATTTTCCATTACTGTCCTTTTTGTGATCTAGAATCCAGTCTAGGATCCCATATTGCATTTATTCTCATGTCTCTTTAATCTCCTCCAATCTGACAGTTCCTCTGTCATCCATGACCTGGACACTTAAATAGAGCTGGTCAAATATTTTATAGAACCTCAGTTTGGGATTATCTGATATTTTCTCATTACTGGATTTGCATTATAGATTTCCTAGAATACCACAGAAGTGAAATATCCTTACTATATCATATCAAAGGGTACATGATACCAACTAGATTTATTCATGGTGATGTAACCTTGGTCACTTTGTAAAAGTGGTGGCTGCCAGGACTCTCCACTGTAAACTTACCTTTTCTCTTTCCATACCCCATTCGTTGGAAGTAATCTAAGTCCAGTTCATACTCCAAGAGAAGGGAATTAAGCTCTGTCTCCTGGAGAACGCACCTTGTAATAGTGCTTCTTACATCCCCCACCCCACAGAACAAAGTGGCCATGTTTTATGGCTCCCAAACTAGCAAAAGACAGCCCAGGTAGGTCCATTCCTCCCTGGATGGAACAGAAGTCCTGCTGACAACACCAGGTGAGCCCAGCAGCAGGGAATGATTAAGGGAAATGCTTTCTTTTCTCACAGGGTTGAGATTCCCCTCCCCAACCTAGACCCAACATACCCAGGGAGGGTCGGTCCTGCCACAGAAACACCTGTTCCAGGAAGTACTCTTTATCTCTAGAGACCTGAGATTCCGCATCTAGATGCAAGACACATAGCTGGGTGGCACCAGCAAGGACATCCCTGCTAAACTTCCCAGCCCAAGAAGAGATCCATCTCCTTTACTGGCAGACAACAGGTTGCCAGGAGGCACTGGAAATGGGGATCCTGACACATTAACAGCTCAACCTGTGAAGTTTTGCTTCCCTTTTGGGCCAGAGCATCCCTTTCCCTATCTACAGACACCAAGCAGCCTGTTTTTGGAGAATTCCTTCTACACTCCCAACACCAGCAGGAAAAAGTGGAAGGAACAGTGGTATCAAATAAGCCAAGTAGACCTAAACAGCATTGCAAGAGCTCTGAAAGCTATACTGTCATTGGATCAAACAGAACCCACAAAAATAGGCTGCGATCTGGGAGCTAACCTAAAAACAGGGTGACTGCATGCTAAAATCAAAGGTTTAAATATGATCCAGAGTCTCTTAACAGCTCAATGTGCAGAATGCAATAGAAAGTTACTCATCACACCAAAAACCAGGAAATCACAACTTAAATGAGAAAAGACAATCAACTCACACCAACACTGAGATAAGTTTGATGCTAGAACTATTTGACAGGGATATCAAAGCAGCCATCATAAAAATGCTTCGAGCAATCACAAGTTCTCTTGAAACAAATGAAAAAAGTACAAGATCTCAAGAACAAAAAACAAAAATAACAAAAAAAAAACAGAAGTTACACCAAAGTTCAATTGGAAATTACAGAACTAAAAGAGAAATTTAAAAGCTCATTGAATGGGCTTAATGGTAGAGTTGATATGACAGAAAATGTAATTGTAGGATTTGAAGACAGATTAATAGAATTTAGCGAATCTGAACAATGGAGAAGACTGAAAAAAAAAATCTTTGCGACAAGACCAAAAAAGCCAACATTTGTGTCGAGTCCCAGAAAATGAGAAAGGAAGTAGGACTGAGAAAATACTTGAAGAAATATTTTGAAGAAATGACCAGAAACATCCCATATTTGGCAAGAAACATAAATATGCAGATTCAAGAAGCCAGGTGAACACATAAATCCGAAGTCCATACTAAGACATCATAATTAAAATTCTGAAATCTAAAAACAAAACAAAACAAAACAGCCTTGAAAGCAACCCCAGAGAAATGTCTCATTACCCATAGGGGGACACCAATTCAAATGACAGATTTCTCATGAAATTATGGTGGTCACAAGGACATAGCACAGCATTTTTCTTCCAAGGGCTGAAAGAAGACTGTTAACTGCAGACTGAATATCTGCCAAAACCATCCTTCAAAAATGAAGGCAATTTAACACAGTCCCAGATGAAAGAAGACTGTAAGAATTTGTTGCTAGCAGACCTGACCTTAAAAAATGGCTAAAAGGAAGTTCTTCAAACAGAGAAAATAATAAAAGAAATACTGGAGCATCAGGAAGAAAGAAAATATGAAAATAGC